ACGGCGGGTATGTAATGATCCAATACAGTGACCGCAAAGTCTGACCCATGAAATTTCGTAAATTAGATACCTCTATGTTATTGAACCACACATGCCAAACTTTCATTCATAAATTTCAATTATAAATAAGCCAATAACATAATATTCATGTTACCGAAAACATGTCACTTGATGAAATTATTGCTGCTGATTAACCATGATCAAATGTTGTTAACGAGAAACAATCCAACATTGGAATTATAAAAATAGGTCTCTAAAAAAATTCCCCACCTAACAAGCTCAATTTCTCCAGAACAAACAATTTCATTCCTTGCCAGGCACCACACAACATTTTTTTTTTCATTCAGTATCGATCAACTTACGGGCAAACGAGGGCAAGCAGAAAGCCGCAGAATGGATCTATAGCCACAACAAGCAACAAGCAACAAGCAAAAACCAATTAATTGCATCTATGAAATGGGGAAATTTCGCCGAAATAAAATCCATAACAAGAAATAGTAGTCGGTACCTCTGAGTTGTAAAACTTTAGTGGGCCCTTAGTTTTGACGTGGCTATTGTCGGCATCTATTGGGTTGACCGGGTGCTTAAAGTCAACTAGGGGGCCCTCGGTTGCACATAGCATGAACCCTATAACACCACTGGAAGGAGATATAAATGTTAAAGTTGAATTACAAGCACTTACGAAGGCTGTCGATCATATGAGATACATCTGTCAATATACAGTTGTAAATTGGAGATAATATGAGATATGCTTCTGTCGATAATATGAGATACAATTGTAAATTGGGTTGTAAGCATTCAAAAGAAATGGAGATATCAACTAAGCTGAGATACAATCAACGAAGAAAATGTTGAGGTATAACCTAATTACAATAAAAGAGACACTATAATCTTCCAACATACAATCCATCCATTGATTTTGATTCTTCTTAAAGTAAGTTTTTCTGTAAATGACAGATCATCTTTTGTGATTTATTTTGATTTTCCCAGTTCATGATAGGAATTTGCATCAGTCACACCCAAAATTATTAAATGGAAACAAAAAATTGAACAGTTCTTTCCAATTAAAGAAAAAATGTGAGAAGAACAAATAGAATTAAATACCTCGGATATGTGGGAACAGAGGTCCAAGCATAATTGACAGAGCCTTTGAAAACCTGGCGGCAGTTTGAGACAATATCTTCAATAATGTCCATATGAAGCCAAATGCTCTCGGCCTGAGTACACACCACCCCTCCTGGCCGGAGAGCCTTCGCTACCGACTCAAAGAAAGGCTTTTCAAACAGCTCCTTTGCTGGACCTGAAGTCGATACAAAAGTAATTCACCATGAAAATGGAACATCCTCGGGAGTTTTGAGAGTTTTTTCCACTGAAAGATAAATACATTACCAATTGGGTCCGAAGAGTCCACTATAACTGCATCGTAAGTTCCTTCCGGAACAGCCTTCAGAAATGCAACGCCTGCAAAATGAATGAGAAAAATATAGTGAAACGAGAAAAGAAAAATGTAAAATAGACCCACAAGTTTCAGTTCAACGCAATTCTAATCAGATAAGTAGTGACTTGGTCCTAAACGCATGTTTAGATATTACATCTATTCCTAAAATGTCCCTAAATAGAAATGCTATTTTCAGTAAGAGTGAAATTGCCAAGGACCGAATTCCAGCTAACGGACCAAATTTCCCAACAACGGGACTAAATCAAATCTTAAGCTGAAAAATATATTCACGTACTAGAAAAGGCAGGTAGAGCTAGAGTAAATAAATGAAGCAAAAAATTTGAAATATATTGAATCTGCGGCAGAGTATACCATCTCCAATGTGCAACGTCACACGGGGATCATCATACCCCGTAGCTACATCAGGGAAAAATTGCTTAGCAACCTGTAAAGAAATAGTGTGCCTGTTAATCGCCATAGGACTTTTAATGACTATTCCAAAATCGCTAAAATAGATTGTATGAGGCTGACCATTGGAACAAGTTCAGATTACAACGAAAGCAGACGCTATAACGGAAGGCACTAATCGAAGCATGGTAGACGAATAGTATCGGAGAAGGAATTGATAAGAAAATGAAAGTAAATGAAATAATTTAAATGAATTAATAGAATGTAGTGCGAACAATTACTCACATCAACCACCATTTTATCAATCTCACATATATCTATCTTCTCGATAGATGAATAACGCGACACTTCACGCAAGACACCACCATCTCCTCCTCCAATCACCAGAACCTGAACAAATATCAAATTAGCCCTATATAAAAAATAAATAACTAGATCTAAAATGATGATGATAATAATAAATAATATAATTATATTTTATTTTTAAAAATTGTCGGCATTATATTTTCCCTATAAGTTGTGTCCGAGTCCTGATTCAGCGCCGGGTTAATCATGGCCTTATAGATTCCAGAGCAAAAGTAAAAACCTTTTTTGGATTTGGAATGGAGCAAAGTGGGAGATGAGCAATCATTTCTTGATAAGCACATTCATCCCTCTCAGTGAGTTGAATTACACCATCCAACACTAGAACTTTTCCATATGATGCCGACTGCAGATAAAATTTACCCAGAATTATGCACTCGGTAATATAAAGCATAAAATAAAATAAAAAATAAAACAAAATAAAACAAAATAAAAACTATAAGCAACAGTCTAATTCTAGAGGAAATTTTTAATATTGTGGCTGACAGAGGCATGTACCTGAAAAACCATAACATTTTGGTAATCAGACTTCCCCTTAAATAATACTTTTTCTACCTTCAACGAGTGAGCTTCCCCTGCATATTTATGCAAAACCAACCAATAAGAGAAAGATCAGCACAATCAGCTATAATATTTCATTTTTGTTGATCCAGTAGCTATCAGTTAACTCACGTTCGGTACTTGCATTATACCCAGGAGAAAATCATTTGGGAATGATAAAAGAGTACTCAGAAAATTATGACGGTGATGACTAGCTACAAAAACTGCAACTGCTATAAATTAGGCATCAATCACATCCATGTTTATGTTTTAACAAAAAACTTCCTAACCAAATCCGAACAAGGGCAAGGACAACCCCTTCATATATTTTCATTTTATTAATCATATATTAGCTTAAAAAATAGAATAGCACCACAATCATACATGAATCTAGAAGAGAAGGAACTTTTCCTAGTTTGGTATGAACATGTTGAGAGAGAGAGAGAGAAGGAAGTTAATGATAGACAACAATATTCGAGTGCACAGCCAGAGCATGAGAATCCCATAAACATGATACAAGATACTCAAGAAAAAAAAAAAAAAATCCACTTATGGAACAGAAAAATTCTAACTTTATCTTGAAATCCAATCTCCATTAAACGATAAAATATAATCTCTCAGTAAAGCCATAACACAAATCTGAGGGATTAACTACAATTTATCCCTCAACCACACAAATTCATGAGCACACCTGAATTTGCTCATATTAGCACCAAGCTAATGACAAACAGCAAAATTCAAGCTAATGATACAGCAAAATTCAAGGTAATGATAAACAGCAAAATTGAAGCTAATGATAGGCAGCCATATTCTACTAATTTTGCACCGCCAGAGCATGAGAATTCCATAAACATAACACAAGCTACTTAACGAAAAAAAAAAAAAAAAAAAAAAAAAAACAAAAAAAAAAAAAAAAAAAAAAAAAAAAAAAAACTCAACTTCCCAAGACAAATAAATATGACTCAAACAATTGAACTTTTTCTTGAAACCCAATCTTAATTAAAACCTAAAAAAATATTTCAATAAACCCAAAAATAATTAACTGCAATTTATCCCTCAGCACGCAAAAGCATAACCACACCTGAATTCACCCACAAAATAGATCGACACACTACTGAAATAACAAGTGTGTGAGCTCGAAGTATACCAGGCCACATTGGGCTTATCTCCGAGAACCATCCCGGGATAACAGAGGATATCCCCTCCGCCAGCTCCACCGCCGACGCGCCGCCGTTGTTGACGTCCATCTCGGCCTCGTACCCAGCCGCTGGCTTCAATCAATCACGGGCCAACTGTAAATAGGCAAAGTCAGTGTAAGGCTGCGAATAATAGCAATCTTTCAGAGAATCTGGTAAAGGAGGGAAGGACAATAATTGGGGCAAATATTTCGCACAGAGTCACTGTGTGCGGTGATTGGTGTTTTATGGAGAGAATCCGATTTAGGTAGGAGACGCACGTCGTTGTATACTTGTTTGTATTGGAATGGCCAACCTAATAAGTACAAAATCAAAACAATAAAATCATTATTTGCGTGTTTTGTGTGCTTATTTTTCTTTTTCTTTTTTTT